TCGTTGGGTCAACGCTAACAGAGCCTTGGGTGTGTTATAAAAGTAACGGTTAAATCCCGTTATTTGATTGGAGTAGCCCAATAGTTGGCGGTGAATGCTGCTGCTAGCTGCCTTCCCTCTTGTTTATGAATGGCTACCGCAGATAGCATTGTGTAGCTTTGCGCGAATATTCGGAACAAACAAATCCATCGCTTGGCAACAACCAACCTGCATTAGTCGGATCCCAGGACAAAACTCCATTGCATATGGATAGGTGGCGCTAGGAATTTAATCGTTCAAGTTACGTTAAAATATTTCCTTTTTTGTTTATTTCTGCGGTATTTCTTTTGTGAGCGAGTGTGTGTGTGCGTACTTAGTTCAACATTCGGGCGGAGAGAGTTAGGGTTCTAATTCGAAGACTTACGTACAGCTTTGACAACCGGCAAGTCTGCACACCACTGAACAAGAAAGAATGTTTGTTTTTTTTACACACAACTTGTGTATTACACAAAAGAAAACTTAACTGTTTTTTTTGTGTGTGTTTTAATTATTTATATGACGTAGGGCATAATTAAGTTATTCCTACACTGTCTTACTTCTAGAAATAGATAAAAAACGTTTTTGATTGTTACGGGTCGGAATAACATGGCCTTTACGCCACCTGTGGACAAATGTAAAAACTGCTAATTATTAAAGATAAAAATCAAACTTATTTCGGTCTACAAATTTTAGGGCGGAGGTTTAGTTGTTCTTAAGATCAGGAACATAAGTAGAACAGGGCGGTATTTTACGGGTTGCTTCGCTGAAGCTTTCTTTTTTTGTTCTCGAACTCTTAAAAACGTTTTCTTGATCCGTTGCATAAGTCTTTGTGGATCAGTATTGATCGTCTGTGTGCCAACAACAATAACACATGGCTATGTTTGTGAGCTAGGTGTGGCCCAGTGGTTAGGGTGCCCGGATTGTGGATCCGAAGAATCATCGTTAGCGACCCGTTACCGCAAAAAACAACAACAACGTGCTCCGCACTTAGGGGCCATCGGTGATGTTGACTAGCTACCTTCCCTGTAGTCTGTCAGTACAAAATTAGGGATGGCTAACGCAGACAACCTCTGTGTAGCTTTGCGCAAACATTCTGTTACGTTTGTTTTATCTGAAAGAAGAAATTTTGAATATTAATTTAAAAATATCATTGTAAAGCACTAAAATAAAATAAATAGGTATATAAACAAGTACTAAATAAAATAAAATCAGATTGATAATCCATTGTCTGTCTATGTCATGTTAGTGCATCGACCAAGCCAAAAGTGAAATATATATAATGCAGAAAACTAATGAAGTTATCTTACAACACTTGTTGTAACAAATCTCGAGATCAAAAATTGAAACTGTGGTTGTGTTGTTGTTTTATCACGTCACATTGCAGTGCCAAAATTATGTACCTACAAAACAGATGTCTGGGAACCACAATCCGCCAAGTTCTACTCTTTATAAGCTATAAATATGCTTAAAATGATACACCATTCTGCACTGTTAAAAAAATAATCTGACTGAAGAAGTGAACACTGCGACTTGAGTGAGATCCGAACCCAAGCAGATACCAAGTGGCATGGTTCAAGTCTTACCGAAAATTTGGTTCCTTCCCAATAACGTGTGAAAAGTAGCAGCAATTAATAGGTGAGTTATTAGCCGGAAGTAGCAGCATTGAATATCTTTGTAAATCAACTAAGCATTTACCGGTAAGCAAGTTTAAGTCGTGAGATCGAGTCCTGCCCAGTTTCAGGTTTTACTAGCTATTAAATTACGTTTTTCTCGTATCCGCGAACCCTTTAATTACATATTAGAGTTGACAGATGGATAAGTTCTCAAAAAGTTTTAGTCTCGTTCTCAGTTATAAAAAAGGGCGGAGGTGGTGGAAATCGAACACCTTACTTTCAGAAATAATACTCGACTAACCGAGATATGGAAAGTCTGTGTATTATCATTTTTATTGTGAAATATGCTGCACGTACTTGTTCAAATGCAACTTTTTTTAACAACAACAAATCGCCATGTTAGTATCACGACTGAACAACTCCTTAACAGACATTTTATCTACTTACCTTTTTAGACATTGACATTTAGCCTAAATCCGTTAATAAAAAATGTTTTATACATGTAACTAACTGTTGACGAGGGTATTGAGTTCGAACGTAATCGGTGGGATGACAGGTCATTTGTTCTAGGTGGTATCACTTTTTGAAACATCTAATTCCTGAACATAAGTTTGTTGTTTGGGTGAACCAATGATCATCGTGTTTCTGGTTTTGAATGGGTTTTTATATTTTATTAACTAAATTTTATTCTAATACATTACCTTGTTAACCCCCACCCTTTTTTTGCGAGCCTATTACCTTCTTGCCGGAGTTTTAGTTAGGCAGCTGAATAATAACTAACATATATAGGTTATGTGACATCACAACAAGACTGATAGAAATTTCCAGTAATTATAAAGCAGCATTTCAACCGCATATTTAAATTTGTGTGTCGCACACCACTGCCGAAGGAGCCATGTTTGAACAAAAATTGTGTTATGATTCATAATACTCAAAATATATAAGGGACTGATTACCATGAAGGTGGGATCAGGGGGTAACCTGAAGTCTACTGTGAATTTGGTCAGTAATATTATTAGTATTAGGCCTAAGGGTTACATTGCTTGGCGGGCTTCCATAATTTAAAACCATAACGTTAAATGTATTGTTTACGAAACCTCTCAATTGTAACCAATGTTTAACGAAGAGAATGACTTTTTGTGGTTATTAACTGGTTTAGTTAAATCATCTTGCTTTGAGATGCTCGTGCATTTCACGGCTAAAACAGTTTCATTTTAACTTGAGGCTTTTGTTCTTATTAAGTATGATTTATTGTATAAAAAAAGACAGAAATACGATCTAGTTGGATCAAAACAGGTAATGCATAAACAACAAGAATACTGTACCTATAATTTGTCAAGATAGCTACATGTCAGTCCATAAAGTACCTTAGCACTAACTAGGTCAACGTCATGAGCCTCGGGGTGGCCTAGTTCTTATCGCGATAGAGAAGTCCTAGCACCCGTGGGTGAATGACTATCTGTGGGTCTTGACAGCCTTACTAAACAACCTGGCAACTAAGCCTAAACGACGGAGTATGTTTACACCTTCAATTAGCAACTGTTTTTATTATTTTATTCCCAACCTTACCGATCCTTGTTCTAACTAATGATCTTGCATGATGCTGACTTTCGATCACGTGGAAAATAACCATTTAAACATGTAATGCCCGTTTATATTATTTTTACATAAATAGAAACGCTGTTAAATAAACAGGATAGGCCTCTATAACTTGAGGAGGGATTACTATACACTAAAGAAGTTATTTATAAACGCTACTACAATATATGTATAGGGTTACCGCTTACACTTTATAGCAATATCAGCAAGTTGTTACGGACTATTATTTTACAGCGACCTCTATTTTATAGCTCACTTGTTTTAAAAAAAAAACAACATATTTATTCGTTGATTAATGAATCAAAATAATTTTAAACATGCAATCGAAGTTATTTAATTTTCAAAGAAGAAGTACATTACCGAAATAAACTTTTTGAAGCTAAATGATTTGAATTAATTTAGTTTCTTTCTTATTACGTTTTGTTGTATGAACTCCTGTTACTTATTAGAATTTCTTCTAGGGTTTATTAGACAAAATAACATACATGATAAAGATTAACGTGAATTACAATAATTTTCATTTTCTTACCTTTTTTTTTTTTATTTACACACACCAGCTCATATGAACTAAAGTGCATTTAGTCATAGTTTCGTACTTTTCTAATAAACTGCACGAAGAAATCTTAAACGCTTGTTTCGTATCTTACTGAACTGCTAACATTATCCTATAAGTTCTCAGTATACATCATATACACGTTATTCACTGTACAGCTGGAAAATTCTTACATTTTGCTCGGGAGACTCGGTGCCGCGTTCATCTCACACACACAACTCGTGTTTTGGTAGTTACTCCTTCAGGTGCGCCAACACCACGATACACCTTTTTCCTCAAGTTAGCGCATGCGTCTGTTTTACTATTCCGCGATCGGGACAGCATCGTCTGTTGGTGGCAGTAATTTTAAGTTATCGATAAAATGAGAATATTAACATTTTTAATCAAGTTCTACATCTACAAATATAATTAATTCACATCGTACCTTGAAAACAGTTTATTTTAAGAAGCCTTCAATTAATATTATATAGAAGTTGTCGAGTTTTATAATTAACCCTAACTTACATGTAGTTTTGTTTTTAACCGGCCGTTCAAATGGAAGACCTGATGTATGGAGGTAGTGGTCAAATAATGATAATTAAAATCAATCCTTTCAGCTAGATAGAGAACTTGGATAACTTAACAGCAGAATAGATGCTGACGCCGAAACGTATTACATTTTTTTAAGCTTACACTCTGCTACGCAAACGAAGGCGATAGTCATAACAAAGTGGATGTTTCATCTGTAAAGAGCTAGGACTAATTTGGTCAGGGTTTGATGAAGTAATGGTAAGATCTATATAAAAACAAAGGTTGACGGACTTCGTTTTAACATATATATATATATGTAACACGCACTTTGAACAGAACTTGAGCTCTAACGTAAGTAAGTCTATGAATCAACGTCTTATGTGTCCGTATCCAGTTTTTGGAGTTATTTCCAACAGATCACCCTAACTCTCCACGTTGATAAAAATGTGTGGTTTTCACTGTTCACGTGTTATTTTAAGAGGTCCAACAACACAAATTTGAATCTTTACGAAACCGCTATGTACTTTTGGTACCCTTTTGCTAATATCACACTATGCGTAAATATATTGTATTTTGAAGTTATGATAAATATTACCTCCTCCGAAAAACTGGTCCTGGGCCTCTATTTTGCAGATATGATTTGATAACACAAGTTTTCAGTTGGAAATATTTTGTTAAGTAATTATAAGAAAAAAAAAGCCAAGAAATGAAATAAAAACATTTATTAAAATTATTTACAACTTTTAGTAAGTATGAAAAAAACTCAACAAAACACGGTTTGGTACTGTCAAGGTATACTCGTTTTTCTAAAGGATTTAAAAATATTTAGCTAAAGGTTCTCCCAAAACCTGTTCCATTTCGGCTATAACAGACTGGCATTGCTGCTCCACCTCTGTGCTGTCATCTAGCGAGCGAGAAAAAAAAATTAGTTCAAATTATTTTGTCTAAACCAACAATAAAGACAATATACATATACAACTCTCGAAAGTCGAAAGACACAAATATATTGATACGAAACTAGTTCTAAAAAAACGTTTTAGAATATTAGTAGAAGTAAGAAGAAATAAAACGCCAGAAGAGAGGCAATGAAGCATGACTAGTTATATTTTATAAAAATACTGGTAAAGAATAACGAGAGAAGCACGACTGGTTATAAAACGATAATCTAAAGAATGTTCTGATCTAATCTACAGCCCCCCCCCAAAAAAAAACCAGCAAGAAACCTTGAGGGTTAAGAAAAACAATGAAACTTTTAACATTTTATTGACTTTGTTTGGCCATTTAACAGAGATGTAATCATCTTTCATGTCGGCTGTTGGCATGAATCTTTATTCAACCCATCCCCCCCCTCCTACTTTTTAGAACACTTAATACTTTAGAAAAAATTAATTTATCATCAGCCTATATATTCAATAAACTAGTCCTAACCTGACACCACAAACATACACACTTATGAATATACTGACGAAATTTTACAAATATTTTTTTCTGGTTCTTAAAACAACTTGGTTTCATTCACAGGATCATCAAACTACTCGTGCTATTATTACAATATTTTTTATTATATTAACTCTTAAGCTATTTTACCTTCCATGAGTTCAGCCAGGAAAGGGATCGCCTCTGGCAACAGAACCATGTAGTCCTCAGCCAACTTTACTACCACTTCTCGGATCACTTGAAGGGCTGCATATCGAACCTTTGAATAAAGTAATCAACAAATATTATCATATCTCGTATCGTAGGTAGAAGGCTGTTAAACAGAAGCACATATCAACACATACTACTCTCGTTCAATACAAAGAATCGTTCAATTTTATTACCAACATCGGTAATAAAATTTCCTTTTCTTAATAAGGAAAGCATGAACTAAAGAATTACCCTGGTTATTAGGTTGATTTATTCTTCTAGATGACTAAGTCAGTATTTGTATTGTGAACGTATTTTAAAATAAAAGTATAACCTATATACTTTTGTTGTTCCTTTACGGGATGTGGCCTGTTTATAAAGGTAACCTTCCCTCCGACTTGTCCTTGGATTTTTAACTTAAATAATAAAAAAACAAACCTCTTTAATTAACGGAGCCTCTAAATTAGAAAACAATTTTTTTTTTTCAATTTTGTTGTCTGTACATTTTATTTTATACTTTCAGCACATGGACTAACAACAATATTATATAATAGTTTTATTGCTAAGCAACATGATATGAAAGCCATAGTTGAAACGCATTGTTACTAAAACACACTGGTTTTTCTATATATTAGAAGCTGTTATGTAAGGAACAATTTCTTTTATATGTGGTTTTTCGTTAGCTTGCCTTATTTAAAAAAATGCGCATGTGCGCGCGCATGCACGTGGATAAGATAGATAATAATATCCAGGTGGAGACCCTCAGGGTCACTTACATAAAATTTCAGGTTTCTAGGTTCTTTGCTCTTGGAGCCATGGCAGTCACATATTCTTTTCTACGTGGTTTTTCACAAAAACATGCCCACGCACATGGATAAGTAATAATATCCATGTGCACACCCTCAGGGTCCACTTCGTATGTGTGCAAAATTTAAGGTTTCTAGGTTCTTTCCTCTTGGAGTTGTGTCAGTCACACACAGACACGCCCTTTTATTATTATTATAGATGATGCACTAATTTTTTCTGTGTGTAGATATTTCTACTAAAACATTTAACTTGCTAAGTAAACACAAATAACAACATATTTAAACATTAGATTACCTCAATAAAGGTAAAATGAACAGTTACACTGTCTTAAAACTGTTAACTGAATAAGCAAGGTGCCAGTTATGACTAACAGAAACCTTTATCTAAATGAAATACTTACTTCTCACACAGTCTTAGTTACTGTACTTTTTAAATTGTATTTCTGAACTTAGTGATGTAGCAGAGAAATGACTGTTAATGTGGCTGTGTAAATTTTCTTTTGACAGGATAGCTACAGGCTCAAATAAAACATGTTTTAAAAAGCACAGGCTTTCATTTACACCTAAAATCACAAACATTTGAATTAAATGAAAATTAAGACTTAACTTACGCTTTTGGAATCAGTTATATGGATTAAGTAATATACACACAGGAATGACTCAACTTTGTGTGCCAAGTTAATTAACCGACTTAAAATACAGCATTAAATCCATAAAATGCTCTTATATCCCTGTTACTTTTGACTCATAACAATATGTGCTTATAAACGCAAGACAGTTACCAACTGACATAACACAGGTTATAAAATACAGCACTTCGGAAGGACTAAAACTTACAAACAAGTTACAGATTGTTCCTCTGTTAAATTATTCTAAAGATCTTGAGGAATTGGGCTGCTTACAGAAAATCTTTAGTGTATTAAATATACAGCATATGAACAAAAACAGAATACTTGCACTTTTAAGTCGTGTGTATGTGTGAGAAACTACAAAAACTCTGTGTTTGGCTTATGAGCGAAGAAACAAAACTTGAAATCTACAAGTTATATATAAAAACATGATCTAAATCTCTAATTAACAACTAAATAAGAAACATGTTTTGCAACATAAAAAGCGAAACATTTCACAAAAACCTCTTTAACATACAGTCTCTGTAACGGACAAAACAGAATTAAGGATTTCAGTTTTATTATCATTTCATGCACCGGTAAGGTAAATAAAATAGCCCCATACACTCTAAAAATCCAAGTTTGTTTTATATTTAGCATATGAGTTTCTATAGGTTTTAATATGTTGAAACTTTTTAAGGCCACACTTACTTTGGCCGATGTATGCCGGGTCTTCAGAAGAAGTTGGTAGTTGAGTGACTTCCACAAACTGTTGTCCTTCGCTGCAACAGCAAATTGGGCTACACAAGGCACCAAAAACTTGATTATTCGGTCTTGGTAATCCTCGTCAGTACCTAGTAGATTTTCAACCTGTAAAATAATGTACTAATTTCTCAGATAACGCACCTATATAAAAAAGTTCTGATCAGCGTAAGCTACGTACTTAAAGCTCAATTAAAAATCAACCTGGCCATCAGTATAGCTAATTAAATACACTATTATATAAAGATTGTTTCATCAGCCAGGTACCCTCACCGTTAATGACATGTTCAGCCATAAACCAAGTAATATCTCACGAGGTTTGGCCAGCTTAGGAGACTTAGATTAATAAAGATTACACCTTGGAATGTAGTTTATACCTACTTCAGTACTGTTATAATTCACTTAATGTTTTTTTTAATGACCAAGAAAAGTCTAATTAAAACAGTTAACTTATTACTTGGTACATAATCAAACACAAAGGTTATAATATCACACAAAACAACATAATGGACTTTTCTTTCAAGACAAAAACAACTACTAAGTTTGCTAAGGTTTTTCTAAACATTTTTTGCAGTGAAAACTCCTTGAAAGTAACACGATACTCAGATTCAGCATTAAAATTTATGTTACTAACTAAATACATACATCTGTCAGCTTCTTGTATTTAAAGGGAGATTAACTTACAAGCCAAATTACTTTCTTTTTTATAAACTAAGTCAAGAAATTAATGAAAATCATACATGTAATATGATACATGACCAAGTATTAGTATTACAGGACCAAGTAGTGACCAAGTATTAGTATTACAGGACCAAGTATTAGTATTACAGGACCAAGTAGTGGCCAAGTATTAGTACTACAGGACCAAGTATTAGCCAAGTATTGGTATTACGGAACCAAGTAGTGACCAAGTATTAGTATTACAGGACCAAGTAGTGGCCAAGTATTAGTATTACAGGACCAAGTAGTGGCCAAGTATTAGTATTACAGGACCAAGTATTAGTATTACAGGACCAAGTAGTGACTGTAAAAATCATGTATATTATATAATGCCTGAACAAAACATCATACAATTTTAACTAACACCTTATTATCTTGGTGGCCAAAAAACCTCACCTGATCCAACAGAGGTTGCATCAAGGTTTCAAAGCGCTCTCTGGTGACAAATCCTTCATTATCATAGAGGAAACACTTCTCTAATGTGGAAAGAATGTACTGTAACAACATACATGACTTCTGAACATCACCGGCTTCTCCTCCAAAGTATAACGACTCTGAAAAACCAATCAGATAAACCTGCAACAGCTGCTATTAAGGTGTTATCATATTTATCCTCTCAATAAATATCTGATTGCTGTGATAAAATTAAATGTTTTCCTTTATCATAATATTAAGAAAGTCATAGATGAACGTGTGCATTTTCTATTTTTTAATTGAATACAATGGAACCTCTTCATCATTTCCTGTAAAACATCTTTCACACTCGTTTTGAATCTTCAAAGCAAACTTTAGGAAATCATTACCTGTTTTTGCCATGTTGTTCTGATCCAACAGATAAGATACATTCTTCACCAAATGTCCAGCAAACAAGACAAACAAACTCTTCAGTTTTGAAGCCAAACTAAAATATAAAGAATATTAAGGATAGCAGTAAGTTTAGGAATAAAGGCAACCATGGATAGCAGTAAGTTTAGGAATAAAGGCAACCATGGATAGCAGTAAGTTTCGGAAGAAATACTACTTATTAGAACACAAAACTCTACAGCAGGATTTTTCAAGTCTACAAATATTAACCACAAAACCACAGTAAATTGAAGCAATAAGAATTTATCGATAACTCGGAAACATTTTATAAAATAGTATTATATGTATATCATAAAGTTACGATAACCTTCATACAAACTACAAAATTACTATTGTAATATACGAGTTTAATGAAGTCTACTTAACACGCAAGGAAACAGATGAAAACACAAGGGTTCAACGGAATACTGAAAGTTAATTTCCTATCATACTGTAAATGTAAAGTTTTTACCTAGAGTAGCTTATCATAACAAAACTCCATTGTAAAATTTAACAAACTTAAAAGTTAAGTACGCCTAACGAAACGTGAAGGAAGGTGCTACAAACTTGACTGGAAATTCACAGTGAAACTCACTTTCTCCAACACTATTTGTATTAAGGGATGAATTAATGGAAATACACTTACCTGTTGAAGAGCCTGTATTTACCTGTCGCCGAGTCTGTACTTACCTGTCGCGCGAGTCGGTACTTAACTGTTGCCGAGTCGGTACTTACCTGTTGCCGAGTCGGTACTTACCTGTTGCCAAGTCTGTACTTACCCATTGCCGAGTCTGTACTTACCTGTTGCCAGGTCTGTACTTACCCGTCGCCGAGTCTGTACTTACCCGTCGCCGAGTCTGTACTTACATGTTGCTGAGTCTGTATTTACCTGTCACTGGGTCTGTACTTACCTGTCGCTAAGTCTGTACTTACCTGTCACTGGGTCTGTACTTACCTGTCGCTAAGTCTGTACTTACCTGTTGCCGAGTCTGTATTTACCTGTCACTGGGTCTGTACTTACCTGTCGCTAAGTCTGTAAAATGTTAGCACTTTATCTTGACATTCACTGTCTTGAGTTGCCCACATGAATAGCTAAGAGAAAAGGAAAAGATTTTTAAAGGCATTATGGAAAATGTCAATGAAAGTTACAAAAATAAAATGTTACAGCAGAAACACACATTAATAGGACATGTGAAATGTTTAAGTTTTGTTACTGTTTCATTTTTCAGTTAAAAATTATAACATTTACATACCTTATTCTAAACCTTGTGTTTCAAACACTATTGTTGAGGAAGCGATCAATAAAACACTTTAAACCAGCAAAAACAGACTGTTTTATTTTAAATTTCATAATGAAACACAATCTATTTTACAAAATCAAAAGTTTCCAAGGTTATCTTACTTTCTTGTGCTGTTAATTTCAAAATCCTTCATTTCTCAAAGACAACACTGAAAATTTGTACAAGAGCAAGGATTTATCAACAACACAAAATAATCACAGCAGGCAGATATAAGAACTGGATTTATTGAATAAAATTGAACTTATTGTACATAGTGGAATGAACTTAGCCAGCCAGCTTTAACAGCTGAACTTGTTGGACAGAGAACACTAAAGTTAACCAATCAGCTTCATGGGCTGAACTTGTCAGGCAGAGAACACTAAAGTTAACCAATCAGCTTCACGGGCTGAACTTGTCAGGCAGAGAACACTAAAGTTAACCAATTAGCTTCAAGGGATGAACTTTTGGGTAGTGAACAATGAATTAACCAATCAGCTTCAAGGGATGAACTTTTTGGGTAGTGAACAATGAATTAACCAATCAGCTTCAAGGGATGAACTTTTTGGGTAGTGAACAATGAATTAACCCATCAGCTTCAAACACAAATAACAACTGGTCAACATCTTTTTAAAACTGATTCAAATAAAATAATGGGAAAAAAATAAAGCAAGACAAGGAAAAACTCGTTTACGCTAAAGTTTGGAGCTCTAATCTTACATGGTATGTACTACATTACATACAAGCTGTCACATAATTCTGAGACAAAAACAACAAGCAAATATTGTTGAATGTTATCTCTCAATCTTGCAATCACCAGAGAGAGACTGAAAGTTTTAAACATCCATGATATTCCTATGATAAATTAACACTTAGATCAAATATATAAAGATTTTTATATGCATGGAATTTACTTCTAACACAAAAACAGAGAGCACAGTTCTACCAACTTTGGTGGATATTAGCCCTAACACTGGTGGATGTTAGGCCTAACACTGTTATGAAATAAAACAGAATAAGAG